GGCAGGGAGCTGGCTGGCAGGAGACCATAACAGACAGATGTCTATAAACAATTTGTTTATGTTTTGTGACATAGCATAGCTGACACATATGCAAACATTTTCCTGAATATTTTATCCTTAATTTTAATAATCAAATACTTTACACAACAGCTGAAAAAGGCAGCATTGTTGAATGACTGGAAGGGGTGGAAGTTTACCAGCAACTACACACACTATGGTCTGGAGTTCTAAAGAAATCTGACCAGAGACTGGAGAGAGAGAATTATTAATTCTACTTTTTTACACAGCAAGGGTAAGGCATCAGTCCTTAAAATGACATGTCAGCCATATTAACTGTTGCAGTTCACTCTACAATATTACGTGAGAATTTTTTTATCCTTTTCTGACAAAACTTAAGACTTAAAGTAATTTGCTTATTTTGTTCAAAAGATATTTTTGTAACCAAAGTCCTTAAGTCTCATCAGTTATTGTATGATTTTTCAGGCAGGCTGGAGCATCATACACCATGGACAGGAACACAGTTATATTCATAGTCTTATCAGGTCAGTGTCTCCTCATCTGGATACTTGCAAATGATCTCTCAAACTCTACACACAAGCCAAATAAAGCAAAACACTTGGGGTTAAACGTCTCACTTCTATGTCAAAATGCAGCTAATGCAATGATTCCTTTGTCAAAATGTAATTTTGCAACAAATGATACACACATGCACCTGCTGAATTACTCTTTTAACTCTTTGTTCTTGTCCTCATCCTCCTCTATCTTCCTCTCACTCCCACTGCCTCTATGTTTGCAAAGTTTTCACAAAAAAGGTGACCTTACCTCAGGTCTATTTGTAGTGCTAAGGCCCAGACTGATTGGTGTTTTGGTCTAAGCGTTTACTTTTAGTGTGTAAGTGATAGGCAAAAACTGTAAATGTTTACTGTATTTTTCTTAATTTGTTGTTTGACTGCGAACAACACAGATGATATGAAATGCTGATATAAAAATGTATAGAAACTTCTGTTTGCATTTTTTGTTAAGTATGATGCTAGTAATTTTCAGAATATTTTGCTTTCTTGTGGTACTTGAACACTGATATGGCCCTCCTATGAGATGGCTAGTTTGAGAGCCCTGTACTTAAGACAGCAGGGTTTTGTATCAGTTCACTAAATGCAAGCATTCCATGAAACTGAATGCTATCATGTCTTTGTTGTCATTATCATGATGACAGGAATCTACATCCTCCCCTCATGTTTTCCTCAAAGTTACCGCATTGTTAGAGATGCAAAGACCTGGACTGAAGCCCAGAGATACTGCAGGGAGAAGTACACCGACCTGGTTACCATAAACAGTGAGGAAGACATGATCAGGCTGAGTCACTTGTTATGGGATGATGATGATGAAGTCTGGATAGGTCTGCATAGTGATTTTAACCATTGGAAGTGGTCTCTGAAAAAGGAGGGATTTTATAAAGAAGGTGAGGCTGAGTTCAGGAATTGGAACGTCAATGAGCCCAATGCCGACACGGATAAAGACAAGTCCTCTGTCTGTGTGGACATAGGAACAAATGGACAATGGTCGGATTATTTTTGCAGAGGAAGCCGCTGGTTTATCTGCTACAATGGTAAGAAAAGAACAACACAATTAGTATAAGTATTCATTATGATCATCATTATCATAATCAACTGAGAGTAGGGATGTAGTGATAGACTCAACACATGATTCAATAGAATTCACAATACTGTGTTCACAATACTATTTTCTTTTTTTTACCTAAATGAGATTGAAGACAGTTTATGACAAGTCACTGTAGAACCTGTAAAACAGCATGGCAGCATTTTTGCTAGTGGCATATCTGTAAGTATGGAAATGTCCGACTGACTATCAGTTGCTGTGGTGCAGACTGAAATATCTCAACCACTATCTGATTTTTTCCTGTTATGTCCTCCTCAGGATAAATTATACTGACTTTGGTCAGTCCACTTTTCAGCACTCCCTACCGGCTTCCTTTTGCTGCTACAGGTAAACACTAGGAATGCTATTCCTAGTGTTTACCTGTGTGGTCTAGACTTTTCATCTGGCTCCACCATCAGGTCAAACTTTCATTGCATCAAAAGGGTTTAGTTTATGACCAAATAAGATAATATAATATGTTCCTTTATTCCCCGTGGGGGAAATTCAAGTTTGGCACTGAAGCACAGGGGAATGTAGTGCAAAAAGTAGAGAAGAGTAAAATACAATGAGTTCCGCATAGCAGGTTAGAAGTTAAACAATCTCAATCAGTGGAGGTTGGAGGTACTGGGTGCTGTGCCACTGTGGAGTCAGATGGCTGATGGCACAAATGAGCCTCTGAAGCGCTTTGAGGCACGGGGCTGGATCAGTCTGTGGCTGAAAGTACTCGTGAGCTGCCTCAGGTCAGCCTAGGGAGGATGAAAGGTCAATAATAGCTTTCAGCTTCCCTCTACAAATACTTACAAAATGAATGACATTCCCATCAGCCTCAGCTGTACTTTGTGTTTTGTTCTAATCAGTAAATGTTAGCATACTAATACACAGTAACCTTTATACCTGCTAAAAAACCAGCGTGTTAGCATTGTCATTGTGAGCATGTTAGCATGATGCCATTAGCATTTAACTCAAGGCACCACTGTACCTAAGTGAAGCACTATTCTTGGTCATTGTATGTGTGCAATTTTTGTTGAGATGTCTTCATCATGAGTTTCATTTTATAGAATCTTCAGAAACTAAATACATCTATTTGAGAAAAGCCATGAATTGGACCGATGCTCAGAGCTACTGCAGGAAGCACTACACAGACCTTCCCAGTGTGAGGAACATAACTGAGAACAAGGCGATCCAAAATATCGTGGAAGGCTATTCATGGATCGGCCTGTACAGAGACCCATGGAAATGGTCAGATGGTGAGGTTAGGCATATAAATTCATTCAACAACTGGAAAGCGGGTCAGCCTGAAAAAACAATGAATTCCTGTGTGACTACAACATACAGTAAATGGAATACACGACTTTGTAACGACGAATATGCCTTTGCCTGCAGCGGTGAGTTATGATCTACAATTATGTTCTGAAAAGCCAATTTATACAAAACATGTGACAGGCTTTACAGTTTACTACATTAACATATCATCATTATAAATATACCTTACCAGTTAAAGTGAGTAAGCAGACAGTGAAGGTGATGCTTACAAAATCAGACTTCTCTGGGGACCTGGAAGAGATGCAGGATGAAATCTTGGAGCAGGTAATGAGAACCTTTGCATTTTGATATTTTAGTTTACCATGTGTCAGATTTGCATGTGTGTTTTAGCCACAATAGCAGCAATGTTCCAGGGCTGACAATATTATTCCGCCCATCACCTTTGGACAAGACATGTCAACTAGTGGAAGGATTGCAATGAAATTTGGTACAGGCACTCATGTCCCTGTCAGGATAGATTGCAAAAAAAGCAAAACATCCATTGCTATTTAGCAAATGCTAGCATGCTAATTACTAATGACTAATGGTGAACATGGAAAACGCAAAACATACCTGCTAAAGATTACCATTGTGCATGTTAGTAGGCTGATTTTAGCATTTAGGTTAAGGCCTTACATAGACAGCCTCACAGGTGCTAGTGTTGCAGTTAACTGGTCTTGTTGGTACACTACCATTGGATGGTGCTATATGGCCTGTATAATAAATAAATATTTTTCTGTTTAGTTCAACCAGAGACTGAAGGACCATGGCCTGGAGGAATTCAAACTGAAATGGATAAAACAGCCTGACGGAAAGATCTTCCACTTAAAAGAAACAGAAGATCAAGATGAAAAATAAAAATACATGGAGGAGCTGCATCCTTAAACAATGAGTTTTTATTTAACCTTTACACAGCTCTTGATTAGGAAAAAAATCATTTTACTTTCAGCAGAGTTGGACGTTTCATGTCAGAACTTTTCTCTTAAGCATTGTGTTGAATTTAGATTTTTTTTCCATGGTTGCAAAAATAGTGCACATTTAAAAAAAAATACTTTTAGATGTAAGCAAAATTTCACTTTATTTTACTTGATTTTTTTCATTATTGCCAATGTAATTGTATTTGTTCAAGGATTACTTTGTTTCACAGCACACATAAACACTCACCCCCCTATTCTCCTTTGCTATGATTGTTTGGTTGTTGTTTTTTTTGCATTATCTGTTAAAATTCATTGCATATTTACTTGTTGTATTTAAAGTTATTATTTTTTTGTCTTTATGCCTTTATTGATAGAAACAGCTTAAGATTGACAGGAAAGGGGGGCAGAGAGAGAGAAGGGACGACACGCAGCAAAGGGCTGCAGGTCGAATTAACCGGGCGCCCTTACTTGTTGTATTTTACTACGTTTGATATCACATTGTATTTTGTGAGCTTTTTTTTGCCCCTTTATAGAAATTGATGTTTTTTATGTTAAGGTTTTTTATAAGTACATTGTACATGTATTCACAAAGTTTGTTCATGTAATGTTTTATATATTTATAATATAAAACACTTTTTTTCCCCACTTTCCACAAATAATTACTAGAATATGTGGTAACAGAGTATAGATTTTTCTCTTATTCTAATGGAAACATTAGAATATGGGAGACACACACAAGTACACTCGCAGCATAAATTCATTCAGATGCCTGCTGTTAACAGCACACTAGACAGGTGCAGGTGAAGGCAGAGGTATGACGTCTTTGTTGACATAAAGAAGGGAAATAAAAAGACGTGCTTTAATTCAGTAAATGTCATGGTAATACAGTAACTTGTGAGCAACATTAACATCAATACCCTCTGATGACTATACTGTGAGGAAGTGCAAAGTATGATGAGGTGCAGCGATAGAGATGCACAGCAACAATAACAGTAACAATTACAGCTAAATATGACTATTAATAATATTAATGATGACAACGATGATAACAGCGACAATAATACCAGTTTACAGTGTATTCTTAATACTTGGCATAAATAGGGATTGCAAATTGTTTACGACTTATATATCAACATTAAGAGAAAAGATGAAGCTGTGCCAACAAACAGACCCCTCTAAACTGTAAATGATCATAATCATTATTCAATCTGATATTAAACCAAACCATCTTTTGTCATTAACTCAATGGAAATAGATCAGTTTGTCCATTTTAAATCAGCTGGAAAGACTATATATCCACTTAACTCATCAAATGTCACAGTGTAGAAACATTATCTGCTTGAATATACTTCAGCATGCAGTGTATTTGAATTGAAAATCCTTTTTCCTTGAAGACATAGAAGCTCGTCATGTCATCATGTAGCTGTGATGTTCAACTCAGAGGAGACCTTTTCTATGGTGCTGTAAAAACAAAGCAAACCATTAAGAGAGGCATCCACATATTAAAAACCATTCAAATACAGCTGAGCCTGATGGATGTTGGTTACATGAATAATACTGTTACAAGTGATGTCTGTATCTCATAGTGGGTCACAGGTTACTTTAAGAGTACATAGAGGCAACATTTTAAAAGTAATTTAGGCCTAAACATTTGCTTTGCGTCATACAAAAATGATGACAGGGTACTTAAAAATGGCAAGGGGGGTGACATAATGAGGTTTTGTTAGTTAGGCCTATAGTTAATGCCGTTTCCCATGGCAACGGCTGCAAAACAGAAGTTGACATTGAAGGCTTGAAAGACATGAAATGACACTGCCTTTAATAAACTTTTTTTCCCTGGGGTATTCAAATAGGCCTAATTGGTGGAATTCAGATCTAAATAATTGATTTGGCTGTATCTTTGCAGAATGTTGGATTGCTATCCATTACACCTGGTTACGGCACTGGTCATCCACTGGTCACCTGCCAAAGCCTCAGCCTCCTCCTCCTCCAGGGCCGGACTGTCCACCCTCTCTGGAGGAGGTTATTACGCTCTTCATGCTGATTAGGCCTGGATGAATGGAGGCCTTTGTTCGGCTCCGGTTCCCACGACCCGGCATTCGCCTGGCAGTCGCGTGGCTCTAAAACAGGGGCCCTCGCTTTAAGGGACCCAAAAGTGGTGGTGGAGGTGGTGGGGGTGGGGCATCTGGTCAATCTGACATCTGCTCGCTAACAGTTAACAGCAGATGTCTGACATTTGAAAACACGCAAGTGATCAAAGAAAAAAAGGAAAAAAAGAGGTGTGTGTGTGTGTGTGTGTGTGTCACCATTAGTGGGACTCCCCTGCCATTAAGCAGAAGTGTTAACACGAGGATTTAAATGGGCAACTTAGAAACCAGAATTAAAATAATATTAATAGCTGATGCAAATTATTTTAATACTTTATAAGTGAAGCATCTTCCATACAGGCTATTTGCACATATAGTGATTTGTCGGTCTATTGTGTTTTCCTGTGAGCTTTGGAGAGAATAGATTTGGCCTTTTTTGCAGGTAGTGTAATGTTGCTCCTGAAAAGAAAAGGCGAGGGGCTCCCCGGAGTAAAGCGCGGTAACTGCACACTCTTGTTCTCCATCCGTGGGAGGAGAGGAAACTGCAGTTTTTTGTTGGGTGCAGGGAGGGGTGGGGTTGGGGGCGGTGGTTGGAGGCTAGAGCACGGTTTCAGGCTGGACATCTGTCGCTTGTGAGTATTTTTTTTTTTTTTTCTAGTTCGGGTCTCTCTGTTATTGAATGGAGCCAGTGACCTGTCAGTCTTGACTGATGGGATCCCGTGTGTGGGAAAATCCCGCAGCCAAAGAGTTGGAGCATTCACATGCTAATTGCGCCAGATAAATAAGAGGGCCGTGCCGCGCCGAGGGCCCTAGAGACGCGCTGAGATTCAGAGCAGAGGAGGCACAAGCGCACGGACACCCGAGAGGAAACATGACTGCTTCATCTATGGCGCACAACGTGGGGAAACATCCCAGTGCCAAGGAGGAGAGAAAGGTATTTTACACTTGGATATACTAGATCGATTTCTCCTTTAGGATATATGAGCCGCACACACTTCATCTCCAGCATGGTGCCTCACCATCCTGGCTGCCTTTAACCGACGTTTTTTTATTCTTATTCTTATTCTTACCCCCACAGCTGAGAAAGCCACTCATTGAGAGGAAACGACGAGAGAGGATAAATAATTGTTTGGATCAGCTGAAAGAAACTGTGATCGGAGCGTTCAGACTTGATGTGAGTATTTCCTCACGTGTCTCATCTCCTCTACAAGTAAACAGTGGAGGCTGAATCCAGCTAACTTCAAGGCTGCTCATCTCTCAACAGCAATCCAAACTGGAAAAAGCCGATATTCTAGAGATGACAGTGAAACATCTGCAAAACATCCAGGGTAATAAACTGAACGGTAAGGAACATGGCTCTGTGTGGGTCACATGTGTGAGATGTAATGTACTTTGGATGAGAGTTTTTATTACCCTGTGATTATTGGCATCTGTCATTTAGGTTGTACCTTGGCTCAAAACTTGGGCAATAAGAACTGAAATATACAGTAGCTTGAGATTCCTTCACCTAGTTGACATTAGGCAGCAGAGAGCACATGTTAATGTGTTAATGTATGTTAAATATTGTATATGTCAGACACTGTATTCGGCTGTATTAATATAGTGTTATTGTATTCAATAGTTAAGTGAAATTGTGTGGCTCAGTTGTGACAGATTTAGTATTACTGAGCAGCTTCCTGAGACAACTGTTGAGGCTGTTTTACTGGATGCATGTTGCTCTCTTTTTCACCACCAGGGGCTGCTATAACCTCAAACCTCCTTTATTTTCTCCTGCAGACCCCACATTAGGCCTGGAGGCCCAGCAGAAATACAGCACAGGGTACATCCAGTGCATGCACGAGGTCCATAACATGCTCCTCACTTGCGACTGGATGGACAAAACTCTGGGCTCCCGCCTTCTCAACCACCTCCTCAAGTCCCTGCCCAGGTCCACCGATGAGCGCCCCCTCCAGCCCACACCCAGACACGACGTCCCTCCTCCGGCCAGCCAAGGCACGGGGCTCCCTGGCACACCCCTCAGAGGAGACCCCCTCCTCACTGGGAGGCAGCTCCAGAGAGAGGGGCCCTCGTGCCATGTGGCTGGGCACAGAGAGAGACCGGCACTCCACAGCTCCCACCTGGGGATGCTGGAGATGTGGAGGCCCTGGTGAACTGGTGGATCAATGATCTTGGTTGTCCATTTTGTTAGGCCATCCTCTGTTATGTATCTTATAGATATGCTGCTCAGAAGACAAACATGGGGCAGTTTTGTTCCAGTGATTATTATTGTAGGTGTGCTATAATGATTCTATACAGACCTTTTCTCAGTACTTCCCTTTCAGAAGTCAACTTCTTGTAGCCTGCATTATAGAAGGCTCTTATTAATCTTTCATGTATTTATTGTATTAACAGCTTTATTTATTCGATATTATATGGCATGACTTTGCTTCTTTAGACCACTTGCTTGGCAATGCATAGATGTTTATGTCTTCCTCCTTTGCTGTAAAATTAACCTAAACATTAATAATAATAAAACTTATTGTACACTCTTGAGATTTTGTTCGGCTTCATGCACCATCCTGTTTATGTACAATTGCTCTGCTATAGTGGCCAGGCAGTGCAACAGGCCCTGACATACAACAGCTTCCCTTGAGACACAAACTGTTTACTTATGAGGTCATATACTAATGTAATCACACTTTTATAGATATGGAAATAGAATTAGGAAATGAGGCCTGTTTTAGTGTCAGTCAGTCTGGATTTTTACCTTTAAAGGGTTAGGTAGAAATGAGCTTCAACAACTGTACCTGAGATATTAGCCTACAGACTGACCTTTTTATAAAAGCAACCCCTTTAAAGCTGCATTAATCAGTATGTTTCAATAAATTAGAAATCAAGTCATGTAATGCAACCAATTCTGCAACTTTAATTACTTTAATGGCTGCAACTACAAACACTGAACACTTCGGTCTCATTGCATTTCCAGCAGCAGACAGTTGTTTTCAGTAAATACACTTAGATAAACACACTACCTGCCCAGCAACAAATGTCAGACAGACAAAGCTAGCAGCTAGCTAGACCAAACAGAGCTAAAGGGAGAGCGAATGCAGACCTTTTTCACAGCAGACATTAACTTAGTAGGAAAAGAACAAGTGTTACTAGTAACTTTGTTCCCAGTGAGTGTCCCAGTAAACTGTGACAGTGTTACAGTAAGCAAGCATTCACAATACCAGGACCCTGAAACCAAAGCACCTAAATGGAATCTGGCCGTCATTTGTTTTGTTACTTAACTTGTGATTTTCCTATGAGACATTCCTATGAGTGTGTGTTTAAGCTCTAACAACTTTATATGTTGATGATACGTCAGTGGATTAGGTGTTTTTCTGCCCCCCAGTGACCAAAACTGCAGCTTTAATTAAAGGTTCAGTCATGTTTTCTGACTTACCTCTAGAGGTATCTATAGTTTCAGTTGTATGTGCTGAGGTTTTTTAGATGCCCAGTCAGTACAGCGGAGGTAAATGGAAGTTAATGTGTTTTCACAGATGACATTTCGATAGGTCAGGAAAAGCACAGGCGTAGGCTAAATAACAAATGAACAATGGCTGAATCCTGCAGTGTTATCACTTAGAGCCACGGGGAAAGTTATTTGCAACACCTGTGCTTCTCCCACTGTGACATTTTCCATGGAGACTATTCCTTTGGTTGAAGAGAGTTCCAATGAAAAGCGTTCACAGTGAGGTCTGTGGATTATCCTGAGTATTGTTGCTGGAGAGACTTGACGCTTTTGAGTTGTTCAGATTTCAATCTTTTGATGCTTTTGGCACCACAAATGAAATTCCATTCATCGCCATTGTATTTGGAGTGGTGACAGAAATCTAATTGGCTGCTGTATTCACAACCTGTGCCACTAAACTTAAACTATCTCTATGTATGGCTATACCATGGTATAGTTGCATGGAAGTATTCATTATTAATGAATGAATTATAATTATAAATCTTAATTGGAGATTTTTGTTTTGTGACTGAGAGGACAAGACACCAATTTCAAGGTTGACATACAGGAATGAATACAAGGTGTCTGAGAGGGGGGCCACTGCTTTACTAGTCTCATTTGGCCTTTTGGTTGAATATCAAAATGAAAAATAAGTTGGATAATCAGATAAGGAACCCAGAGAGGTTTTAAAGAGGGGCTTTGAAGCACTTTATAGCATCAGAGCCATGTCCATCTGGGCGCACAAAAACGCCAGGATGTATCCTAACTGTGGTCAAAGCGAGTGTTCTGGTACATTTACGATTTAATAAAGCTGTAATTCATCATTGGGTTTTGAAAAGTAGAGACGTGCATATGGCCCATTCTCCCGCTATTATTGCCGTTATGATTGGCCGCCACATGGAGCCAGGCGGCGGTTCTGAAGAGAGGGCGAGAGAAAGAGAGAGAGAGCGAGGGGGACGTCTGGTCCCTCAGCGGAGCTCACCAACAAAAGCGAGCGGAGACAGCTGCTCTATCCACAGTCCACACCATTAAAGATCTGGAACAGGGATCTGGGGGTGGCGAGGTGCCAAAAAACCCTCCACTTGAAAGGTCTGAAACTCTTCCTTCATTTGGGGCACTAGAGTTTTGTGGTGCTTTTTGCGGAAATGCTGCGCAATTGTGGAAATGCCGTGCGTAAAAGAGCACCTGAAAACACATCCGTGCAATTACCTGGAAGGTGGCACAGATGCATGCGTTGTCCATTTTCCGAGCAGACAGGAATGCTCTATTGTGAGGGTAATTTGCATGATACTACTGTGTACAAAACATGTATCATAACAAGGCCAGAGGGACGAGCGCTCTTATTAGACATTAACAAATAGACCTTGTGCGCAAAGGACTAAACCAGCAAATCTAAGTCAACACTGATAACACAAGTACCATCATTTACTCCAAACGTTGTTTAAAGGATGGCAGCTTCATGATTTGCATGTTTATACACAAACACACACACACACACACACACACACACACCAAATTACAATAAAGATAACATGCAGCCCGAGTGCTGTATGTTATCTGCAAAATCGAGCAGATTCTTATAGACTCTCTTACAGCAGAGCAGGCATCGTGATAATGCAGTTGCACACAAATCAGAAGTCACCAAACAACGGGGAGAACAAACGAGGCGCAGGCCAACACCTGTCGCTTTCTTTGGAGAAGGGCCCTTAATTCCCCGGGCTGATTCAGTTTGGGCCGAGGGGCCGCCAGCAGCAGCTGCCAACTGAAGGCATCGCGTTACATCCGCCAAACAGCCGGGTAAATCTGCTGAGGCTCGGACACAAAAGCCAGCAGAATGAACAATTGGTAGGGCAGAAAACAGAAACCCACTGGCAGTCATGCTGAGATGCTCTGATGCTTCAGGAAATTGCACAAGGACACACACAAATATTTTTAATAATGTCACCAAATGAGCTTTTCTATGCATTGAATGTATATCACGGCTCATTTTTGAATAAAAAACATCCCCCGGGTTACATTGAACAGTTATTAAAACATTTATCAGAGTTTTATTTAGAGTATGTGTGTGCTCTGTATCACTCTAATAGCCGGTTCTGTTTCATGGTAATGCAGTTTGTACAGCTGAATGGAAGTACAAACAGTTGATCAACACCAACCAGTGGGGGAGAAAAAAAAAACAGAGCGGTCGGTCCCAGAACCCAACAAACTGTCTGATTAAAGCCCATCCAGCTCCTCGGGGCGCAGACCGCGGCTGACCGGAGACAAAGGGAGTGAGCGCTCATTGGCTCCGGCCGTGTGCGCTCTGTTGTCCCCCAGCGAGAGCAGCTCAGCCCCTATTCACATGTTAATAAGCCCCTATAAATACTAACAACAGCCACTCAGCGCCAGCAGCACGTCTCACTAGGATTGCACAATAAACATAGGGCGCCTCGCCTCGCCTGCGAGTTAGTCGATTTTTTTTCTTCTTTCTGAAACCGGTTCCGTTTGCCAGCTGCCCCCTCGCTGACGACTCGGGAGGAAAAGGCAGCAGTGGGAGAAGCCACAGAAGCGGCGATCCAACCAACATGGCCCCCTCGGCTCGACCCAGCAACACCGGACTTGGCATGGAAGAAGATTCCGAGTCCGACTACGGGATCCAGAAAGCGGACAGAAAGGTAGGCTCTCTCTGGACACGCGTGGCAGTGACGCACTTGTCACGCCGGTGACAGTCTGTAATGCATTCCAAGAGGAGAGAGAAATAAACATGAGTTGTGTCCACAGCTGTAAGTTGCTATCGTTTAATGAAGCGTGATCTTTGTGCTCCTGCAGATTAGGAAACCTCTGGTGGAGAAGAAGAGGCGAGCTCGCATCAATGAGAGTTTGCAGGAGCTGCGGACTCTGCTGGCAGACACAGACGTGAGTACAGCGCGCACATACTGCACCTTTGCGATGCACAGGTAGACCTCTGGTTCTGATAGAGCTCTGCTGCTTCTTTCTACAGTTTCATTCCAAGATGGAGAACGCAGAGGTGCTGGAGATGACGGTGAAAAAGGTGGAGGACGTACTGAAGAACCGAACCCAAGGTCTGCACAACTCTGTTCAACTTCCACTCTAATACTACCTACAGGTCCACTAAGCAGTTCAAGGGGATTTAATCTTAAAAAGTCTGTATATGACTCAGGGAGTGGACTGCATTACTTTTCAGTTATACTCTGACAGCTAAGGATTGCATCCTCCTATAACTTCAGACCTGAGTGATCCGCCCTGTGCATGATCATAGAACCCAAATATTACAATGATAAAATGTCATTATCAATATGGATATGTGACCAAACTGGTGTTTAATTTTCACTCAATCTCGTGTTTAACTATTATTATATTATTACCATATTATAATAATGATGTCCAGTCTGATATTAAGACACTAATATCATAAAAATGTTGCCCGTTCTAAAACTGTCTACTAGTCTAAGTGGACTCATCCAAGTCTGGACAAAGGGATAAAAGGATCAAGGGGTGTTATAGTGTATGTATGCTCAAGGTTTAACTAGAAAGTTAGAGCAGTGGTTACCAACCTGGGAATTACTGGATCATTTTACTTCAGGACTCACTCTGGGTGAACTGGTCAGGCATATGGGACGGATGAACAGAGCAAGTAGACCATTTTTTTAATTAAGGGAAAATAGTTGGCAACTACTGATTTAAAAGCTATGAAAGTCATCTTGTGGTATTTTAGGTTTTATCTGTGTTCTAACCTGGATAACCAGGAAATAGCAGAAGTCCTGCAAACCACCCAACTGATAGTGACCTGGCTGGGACCACAAACATAACCTCTCCTCTCTCCTCCCACAGAAACAGACACACTCAACCAGGAAGCCAGTGAGAGGTTTGCGGCCGGCTACATCCAGTGCATGCATGAGGTCCACATGTTCGTGTCCAGCTGTCCCGGGATAGATGCGACAGTGGCAGCGGAGCTCCTCAACCATCTGCTGGAGTGCATGCCCCTGAACGAGGACCACCTTCAGGACGTGCTGATGGATCTAATCACCGACACTTCTGGGAGTAACGGCAGCACTTGGCATGGAGGCGGGGAGGCACTCTGCACGAATCTGGCTTCGCCTGGAGGAAGAAGTCTGTCCAGTGGCTCGTCCTCGGCTCTCTCCCCCGCCCCCTCCACCACATCCAGCGAGGACCTGTGCTCCGACCTGGACGAGACCGACAGCGAGCACAACCAGAGCTCCATCGAGGGCTTGGAGAACAGGGAGGCCCTGAGCACGCCCACCATGACCTACCCTCGGTCTATGTGGAGACCCTGGTAGGGGTCTGGGGTTTGGATTGGATGCAGTTGGGATATGTTTTAAGATGTGACACTGGGCCTCTTACTGGAAGGGAAAATTCCACCCTACAACACATGGACTCAAAAATAACCATTCATTTTTTGTGGTGTACCTTGCATTTCTGGGCTCATTTAGCCCTGCAGACAACTGGCCATATGCATGGATTGTTTTTTTTCTGGATTCTTCACATTGATGTTCAATAATCAAATCTGATTTAGAAGACACCAATTTGTCCACTGACAACAGCCTCATTTGACCAAAATGCAGTGCAACCACAGACACTTTGTGCTCTGTGGAGGGACCATGACTGTGGCTTTACTCCTCACTCAGAACTGAATGCAGCAGCCTTACCATGGCATTCTGGAAAATGTAGGACACCATACATTGAAACAGACAGTGCAGGTTTTCATCAGAAAAATACGCCATAAGTGCTTTGGATGGCACAGAAAAATGTCTAAAGGCTGGAGTTTTCCTTTATCACATTGGAGGTGCCCTTCCTCTCAGGGGCCCCTGCAGCATGGGGCCTCCTGAAAATACTCCTCCTTTTCTTTTCAGTTGTGACTCCCCTGGCTTTGAGTCATGTGTTGTGACTTTTCTTTACACCTGGAGCAAAATGAAATCTTCCCTCTCAACACTCACTTATAACCCAACAAAGGACAGACGAGGAGCAGTTCAAGTTCACACTTTTTTGTGTCAGTAACTCTGTGTGTGTATATAGGATTTGTACGTGGAGAAAAGCTCTTTTAGAAACTGAGAAGTTTGGCAATGCCTCTGATTAATATAAATATTTCTATTGTATTTCATAAGACCTGTAGTTTATTGGACCAGTAGCCTCCTCCAGAATGACCACTTTATGTTGTAATGATGTCTAGAAATGCCTTAAAAATGTCTGAATTTGCTAAATAAAATAATGTAATTGAAAAGCTGTGTGACTCCACTTAATGCAATATGGTAGGAAACAGGATAAAAATAGGTATTTGATGAGATTAAAACAATTTATTGTCGAAAATGTACTTATACCCATTGCTGTTATCTCAAAGGATGCCTGGCTGATTTGTGTAAAGTGATTTAGGCCAATAAGAGCACAGAGACTCAAGTTTGATTGCATGGCCCATTCAATCACAAACACCTTTTAAACAGCAAATAAGTTGGCATATAGTAAGAGAAACCAATAAACAGATAACGCATGCGGCATTTCTCATAATCTACTGTCCAAATAAAAAAAAGTGTTTGTGCTGTGCATATTTTACTGAGACTAAAAGTCTTCTATGATACGTTGAACGTTAAGGATGTAAAAATCCCTTTACAAGATTATATCGTAAACATAAGCTCTCCTCCTCCTACCTCGGACCTGCAGTCCCTTCCCACCAGGAGGACGCACGGTGCGGTGCGCGCACATGAAAGAGTCGCACCTCTCCAAGTGTCTTTACTCTCACCTCACATACAATGGGCATATTGACAACGGACTGTTAGATCCTGTCTGGACTGTCTGGACCAGCCATCAACCTACAGCAGAGCAATGTGGCCCCTCACTTTCCTGATATAAAATGAAATGGAGAATAACCGGTTTCCAACCGGAAAATACGCCTTTTCTCTCGTTTTCCACAACACAGTCGAGACCAATTAGACCACATCTGATATTGGGTGAAATTCACACGTGGTTCACTTTGTCTGTTGTCAGATGATGCTGGAATCTTGGAGGGATAATGAACAGGGTGGGGGCGGAGGTGGAGGGGGGCCGGGTGTGAACGTCGGAGGAAACACATTGAAATGGGAGCGGAGGAGACACGGTGATCAAAGCTGCGACCATTTGACAGAGGAGCGTCAAATGGTCGCAGCCACAAAGGATACAGGCAGGCTCAGATTCTTCAAAGGGACCGACCAACCAACACACACACACACACACTCGCACACACACACACAGGCTGCTGCTCGCCCTCATGGCTTTTGACTGACACTTGATCACCTAAAGACTGGTGCTATCAGGGTGCAGGTGCTTGTTGGTGGCACTTTTTAATAAGGGTACATCATACATACATGAATGAACATCATCATGAGTCATGCATTAGTTCAGTAATGCTGAACTAATGCATGACTCATGAGGATTTAATGCAGGCTGTATCATGGATTTATGTTGCTCACTACAAATAAGTGATCATGTCTCTATGATGTTTTGTGTTCACACCTAATAGATCATCATTTCTATGTGAATTAACACAATGTTCCTCATACATTCATCAAAATATGACCAATTAGATGGATTCCTCTTACATAAAAGCTTTGTTCAGGGCTTTACATTTGCTCAGCCTCTTTGAAAATAACTTCATATTTCTATGAGAATAAACCCAATGGCATTCATGACACATTTACAGACAGTGGGTGGGTCCTCTGTTTAGGGTATTTTTAAAGAAAAACTTCAAAATGTGATGGAAAACGTATTCAGATCCTTTACCTAAATGAAAGTATCTCTAGTTCAATGTAACTGTTTCTATATCAGAGAGTGCTGTAATAAAGGTGTATTTATAAATCCTATAGGCCAAGTGCATCATTTATTTCAACTTGACATGAAGTTCTCTTAATCTGCTGTTCCCTAATGTCCCCAGCAGTTCCTAGTTTAACATTCAAATATGAGACAGCTGTCTTTTACTGGAACTATTACTTCTTCAGGCATTCTACTTTTGGTCTTTTGTAGATTACAGCCAAACCCTGTTTCAGACAGAGTAAATTAAATTACAGTATACAATGTCCATAAACATATGCTTAGTCCCCAAACACACCAGCCATTGTAATTTTGGACCGCTTTGTAGTTTGAAACCCTATAGTGTATGTTCCAATATATGAAAGGAAGCAGGTGGGTGGATGGGTGTGGATGTTGATTTTAAGGACCCTCTGCCAAATTAAATTATAGTCACGCCCCATTCTGTCTGGTCGAACCAACACACCACTGAACTGAAACCTCGAATGAAGCCGTAACTTTTATAAAGAAATCTAAAAATGTAGCCAAAACATTACAATCAAATAGAATTAGAAATTCCTACTATTACAGGAAATAGGCCACCACCTTTAGGATATTATATAAAATGTAGTGTTTTTGTTAGAATGCATGTACAAACCAGAGTTCATGACTGGGAATATTTCCCGCCATCAAAACCCTGTATGTCAGCACAATCTGCTAACTGACAGATGACGGGCTGAGCACATTACCAGATTTAGCTTTAGAGGGGGAAAAAATCAGACAGGAGGGAGGACTTTTTCCAAATGCATCAGCTGTGGGTTTGTGAGCGTGCATATGAATTCTGAGGTTAAAGGTCAGTGCAGTGCAACAGTTGGCGTGAGAGCAATTCAACGGCGGAGGCGAGCATATGGTGCTGAAACAGATCCCCGGGGGAACCCTGCCATCCTTGGGCGCTTCTCAACTGTCTTTGACTGTGAGAGAGCAATCGCTTCCTATTGGGCAGCAGCAGCAGCTTATATGAGCTGTTTGCAAGACACACTACACTTTGGACTGACATAGAGCTAAAATGATAGATTAATGGATTTATTTTCTTTGCAAGAAAATGTATATTATTTAAAGGGAAACTTTAAATTAATATTTAAACATAATTGTCAGTTTACATTTGGGAAGATTTACGAGGTCTGTGAAAACAGTTGTATAAAGAAATCTGGAAGAGCTTTATTAAGTCTGAGAGAATAACCCATTTAAAAAAGTCTGTCTCTTGTGAGTTTCAACTTTATAGAAATGCAATCAGAAGTTCCCCCACTGCAATGATTCATAGATTAGTCAGTTAAAAGAAAATGCATTTTGATAACTGATTTATTGTTTGTAGTCCCCCTCCACTCAAAAATGTATATTTCTTCATGTTCCTACACTGTTTGAATGATGTATGTGCAGAGTTTGACACTAGAAAGATGTTTTCACTACATTCATCTGCTGAAAGTGCGTTTTGAAAGTGTTTCTCTGTGCTCATTGAAAATGTTAAGATTTTAAGGGGCAGGGCCTATGAGCATGATTTTCTGAGGATTTGTGAAGTCAATCAAACTTATACAGTGTGATGTAGAAACTTGAGAATGGACTTCACAGTGAAGTAGGAGACATCTTGTATCCAGCAGGAACTTTTGCATAATCATAGATTCTGGTATTTTAATGAGGTAGTATTCAATGTGGAAATTAACCTTTATTGTGTAAAACATATCAGACACACATTACTGTTCCAAGTAGATTATTTATGTCTGGAGGGGATATTTAAGTTATTTTTCATGCTATAATGTGACATATTTGATGGTTCCAGGTTCTCCAATGTGAGAATTTGTTTTGGTCTTACATTTAAAACACCTGAAGATGTCATATGGTTTTCTAGGATATTGTGATCTGTATTTTAAATGTTTGTCTGCTATTCTATAAATTTAACAATCCATTAATTGATCAAATAATCAATAGATACATAATTTTCAGTTGCAGCCCCATTTATCACTAGTCTTACGAACATTAGCAACCCGTCTGGTATTAGAAACCTTTCCACATGATTCATATCCCTTGATCTGTCTTACAAAAGAATGGCTTTATTTCATTTATGGTATCATGTGTAAGAGGGCAGGCAAGTCACCCTACCCTCCAACAATGGAGATATAGCCATTATCACAAAGCATGTTAGCCAGTGGCCAGGCTTTACACTGCCATCAGCCTGTCAAAGACATGGCTCTAATGCAGTGAAGATAACCAGCCCAATAAGCTGGTCTAGTTGGCCTAACTAATATGCTAAGCTAATCAGCATATACATGTTACTAATACTATTATACTTTATTTCCCCATCATTGTTTGTAGTGTATGACCTTACTCTGCTCAGCAATGTGCAAGAAAACCACTCATCAGAGTCACAGGTTATATTTCTGTAGTTTTATTACAACATAATTTCCATATCTCAAACAAACACATCTTATCTACAAAAATGCACAGAACTGTGCTAGTTTAATACCACAGACTCCAGTGGCAAGGAAACAAATTTACATGACTGTACGCAGCATTGTGTGCTTGTACCGTGTGTATGCATTTACAGCTCAGGGTGCTACCAACGGCCCACCAGTGTGTAATCATTTAAAAATAGATTCCCACTATGAGAAAGGTAAGGCTTCAGCACTAGTGCAGAATCATTCTCTGGCTTACTCTCAGCATTCAGAACAGCTTATGTCCACATGAATTAACAACATTCTTCCATTCTTAATAGTTTATACACAGGTGAGCATTGGAGGCCCCCCTTTGAGATATTTTGCACAGAAAAGAGACAAAAGGTGGTGACAGGTGGCTGTCCTCTTTGTGCACACATTCATTCAGAGAGACAGAAAGCAGACAGAGACTCTCTGTACAAACCCATCACTCACCGGAATCACTTAAGTATCTGACCACTCTGTCCATTGCGTTTGCCCACATGTGTACACATGCTATGTTCTGCTTACAGTAACATGACCTGGGATTCATCAGAGGTAGGGTCCGTCCCCAATGACACTCAAAAGCCATTATTTTTGTCAAACAAATAAAATAAAATACGCAAAAGAAAATTTTGAAAAATAGAACAATAAAAAAAAAAGTTCTGACAAGTGAACAGTGAACGAGAAATGAAAAAAGAAAGAAAGAAAGTAAACCATGAAAACAAACTAAGTCAGTGAGGTGCTCTTGGTCTGGTCCGTCTTACATTCACAACAGTTTCTCTGCTGTAGCACCAGGGTTGTTCCCAGTTCTCGTGCTGTTCACCTCGACTGCATGGAGCCAATGTGGATCACAGTTTTCTTAATACTTCATGTTAGATGACGAGGGGCTTGCATGGTTGCTGATGCATACATGTCACCATTTCCTGTGTAACCCAGGGCCCTTTAGAAGGTCACTGAGGCAACATGGTCCCCATATTTGCTACAATTGTAATGCTGTTTACCAATCAAAATCTATATTTCAGTGCTGATGCTAAAACATATTTGACCCAAAGCTTTTACATTACTCAAGGATGTGTGCTGCAGGGACGTATGACTTACAGTCTTTCTGGTGGTGCCTGAAAAATGCCAGTTTTGTAAAAAATAAAAACTGTATTTCTATTTTTTGATCCAGAAAAATACATGTGTGAGAAAATGAGCAGAGGAAATGTCTCAGAAGTGGAGACAATATAACTTTGCATAAAGTATAAATAGTACTGGTTTGTTCTAAAAATAACATTTTGTAGTAGAGATGCACCATACTGACAGAAAAAGAATATTACTCAACAGTTTTTGCAATATTCTGCAATGTACATCGATATAGTTTCTTAAAAAAAAGAAAACAAAATGTGCCATTTTAAGATACAAATTGGATGTCAAAAGGAACTTGTTAGTTTGTATAACCACCATCCTTTTAACCTCTGCTTTTCACGTAGCAATTCTGATGTTGACTTTTTTACATAAGCAAAAATATTTCAGCAGCTTCTTAATCTGTGATGATGTCTGCTTCTTCATAGCACCCGTGCTGTTTTAAGTTCGGCAGATGCCTACAACACTTTGAGGTTAATCTGTGAAATGGACAAACTATCTCCAGTTACTCAGTCACTTGAAATTTCCTGTGGAGTTAATTGTCAACGCCTGTAAACTGTTCATATACAAGTACTAAGCTGAATGGATTTGGCTTAAGCTTAAAAAAATCTATTCTAGATACATTATCTGGTAGAAAATAAATAAGAGACTTAGTTAAATGATCATCGTGCACTACGTATCAGATTGTCACTGTTGTAGAAAGTTACAATCAGCCTTCCGTTGGCTGTAGAGTCAGGTTCTACCACTGCTGTAGGCGATAAACACTCATCCATGATGCCAAAGCAAGAGTTCCTGTCCCTGCCCTTTGACCGGGACTACATCATCCTATGAGCACCGCATCTATTCTAAATAGTTCCTAGTGGGCAAAAACAAAGAGAATCCTGGGGTTTGAAGGACTTGAATGGCAAAAACAAGAAAACACAAACATAATGTCTGGTAGTATTTAAACAGCAATGCTGGGCTGCTTGTTAATAACATCTTTAAATTGTTTATTGACAATTATTTTGTCAATATATATATATTTTTTTCATCAAATATATTAAGATGTCCACTATTAACTTGTTTAAAATTGTAACTCCTCGCGTTGCTGTAAATCTCTCTGACAAAGCAGATGAGATACAGTTAAATAAAAATATATTTGGGAGGCCAAAGGTCACCAACCACACAGTCAGGTCATTTCTGTGAGAGTCTGTGTGTGTGAGAGTGCTGGCAACTTCGGCGGCAGTCCTCCGCACAGCACACACACGTGAGCGGCACACATTCTCATATTCATTCACTGGCAACAGAGTTCTGCTTGAGTTCATGTGTGTTTGTCTCACATCCACATTGTGTGTGCGTGTGTGCATCATGAGGGTCCATGGCTGGTCAAGTGTGTCCCCCTGCTGGCCGTGTTTGTTCACGAGCCAGTGTCTGGTTGAGGCTGAGACTCCTCTGATTGGCTCTGGGCGTTCTGGCTCTCTTGGCGCAACTCCTCCCCCATCTCGCCCATGTCCATGTCTGGCAGGTCATCCTCGATGTGGGTTGCTGCTGCATCCTCACAGTACACACACTCCTAAACACATACACAAAACCAATGTTAAATATATTCAAATGAGACTTTCTGCCAGTGAGAATTGTGATGATAATAATGTGTAAAGCATCTTAATATGTTGTTGCAAACAGATTTTTGACTGATCCTGACCTTCACATTGATAGCGGCAGGTAGACCTCCCCTCCTCATCCAGGGGTGTTCCTCCACTAGTTCTCGTCGCTGGTCAGAGGAAAAGTGAGGCTGGCTTTTCTGCATCTGTCTCAGCCTCTCCTTATCGTCTCGCAGAACCTTCTGAATGTCCCTGAGGGTTAGAAAACACACACATTACAGTTTACCAACGAGCTAATACATATAATGGTTCACTGCAAGTGTGGAAATAACAGAAAGAACTTTTAAGTAATCAATCACGAATAAATATGCACACTATCATTATGAAAAAAATAAAAAATTATATCCCAGTCAGTGGCTTACCTGGACGGCATTTGATATGTCATCATAACCTTGTCGTCAGCATTGGCCATGAGCAGCCAGAGGGGCTCCTGGAGAACGTATTTGATGAAATGCTCTCCGTCCCCTTGGGTTGAGACCTTGTTCTGCGACCGACCGCCTTCAGAGTCTCCTTCGCTTCTCGTCTTGGCTTTGGTCTTGGGGTTGTGTTCCAGGGAGTCAATACTGCCAAAGTATTTGCTGGTGTTGCTGCTCCCTACGCACAATTTGAAAAAAAATAGACTTCAACACATGTACTTTTTATAGGAAATATTGAATTTTACTTTACAGGACCTGTAAAGCCTGGGTGTTTGTCTACTGACCTGTTCTACTGCCTGAAGCTCTACTAGCTGATGTACCACAGCCTGAGCCCGATCCTGAACCCGATCCTGAGCCTGATCCAGAGCCCGATCCTGAGCCCATGGAGCCAGAGGTCGCTGATCCGGTGCCGGAGTGGGAGTCCTCCTGCTCTTGCAGCAGGATGTCAAGCAAGTCGCAGGACGAGGAGTTACCGTCGCTGTGAGCCCCATCTCCTGGAGACTCCACCTGAAACACAAGGCAGCAAACCATCAGAGATAAACCCTCACACTTCAGTGACATGCCGTGACAGGCTTTACATGGAGGTGTTAGTGTGTAGTTACTGAAGCTTTTATAAGACAGGATTCTGATGTGTCTCTCACCTGTTTGTGGTTTTCAGTCTTGGCGTTGCCTCCGTTCTTCTCCCCTGGTGCTGCAGCTGTACTGTTGCCAGCAGAGGGCGCTGTGCTGTCCTGCCGTTCCACTGAGCGCTGTCCCTCCTCCATGCTCAGCAGATTGAGCTGCAGGGGCGAGCTGCACCGCGACTCAAACAGCGGTGGCGACGTGGTGGGCTCCCTCGCTCCAGAGGCTGGGGTGGAGGAGCGTGATGCTGCACCCTCTCGGCCTAGGGCTTTGGGGGGCTCGGTGGCAAGGCTGTAAGGGAAGGGCTGAGCTGGATATGGTGCTTGAGCCACAAACTGAGTCTGCACTGGGAAAGAAGGCTGGGCAGCGAAGGGCTGCTGGGTAGTGTAGGCAGTCTGAGGGGCCTGGAAAGGCTGCTGGGTAGTGTATGGGGTCTGAGCAGCTTGGAAAGTCTGCTGGGTAGTGTAAGTGGTTTGAGCAGCCTGGAAAGGCTGCTGGGTGGTGTAGGGGGTCTGAGCCGTTTGGAACGGCTGCTGGGGGGCAAAGGCAGTCTGCACGGGAAACGGCTGTTGGCTGGTGTAGGGGGCTTGTGTTTGCAAGGTGTAGGCTGGTTGCGGGGGCTGAAACGGCTGCTGAGTAGTGTATGCAGGTTGTGTCTGGGTCTGCTCGGGGAAAAACGCAGGTCTAGGAGCTGCCCCCAGCTGACCTATCTGACCTAACTGTCCTATTTGGGGGAAGAGGTAATTGGGTAACACCAGAGCCACCACAGGTGTAACAATGGGTGCAGGAAATGGAGTGGCAGTAGGAGGGGCTTGGGTACTCTGCCCCTCTCCAAAGCCTGCGGAAAGGGAGGGGGCAGGGGG